AAATCCTTCCAAATGTCGGCTTTAATCCATAGATTCCACAAAAAGACGATGGTATTCTAAAACAAAAAATTCACAAAAATAATAATATAAAACTTTCTGATTTTTTTTTTTTATATTTTAAATTTCAGCTAAAGATCATTTAAATAATTGCCTGACAGAACCACCAGCATCACTGCCTACGGCAATCGGACATAAACCACTATCGTGTAAAAAAAAAATATAAAATTGATTTAAAAACAGATTTAAAAACAGATTTGAAAATAAAAGGTAACTTTGGATAAGAATAATTTTTTAATAACCTGGCAACAACACATCCACTACCTCCACTCGTTCCTCCACAATAATGATAGGTATTGTAGGGGTTACGAGATATATTTGCATTCTGAATGTTCATGGTAATACTATTAAAACAGGAAAAAGAAAAATATATTATAGTAAATTATAATGTCGAAGATATTGATCAGCTAGATATTAGTTCAAAATAAGCTTACTCAAAACAATATTCTTGCAAATTTGTTTTTCCGATGATAATAGCACCTTGTTCTCTTAATTTTTTTACCAAAAACGCATCCTTTGAGGCAAGGTTTCCTCGATTAAGAAATGATGTTCCTACACGTGTCTCATAGCCAATAACATCAATCACATCCTTAATCGCAACAGGAACACCGTCGAGAGGTCCCAATGTTTGGTTTTGATCATATCGAGAGGTCGACGCCTCAGCTTGCGCTATAATATCATCCTTGCGATATTGACATATGCCTAAAATTGCCGCGTTATATATTAACAATTAATGAAGTGAAATATTAAAATAATTAAAGCAAACTAACCGTTAAGAGGTGGGTCACACGCCTTAGAGCAAGATTGAATTATTTTATCAATTAATTTCTCGCATACCTTTTTTATGGAATTATGTAAAATTTATTGTTAAAATTACTGTATATGATTATGATTAAAACATTAAAACAATAAAAGTAATATCTTTCTTAACATACTTGTAGAGGTGTAATCCTTTTGGTAAAGTATGCTTCAGTATAATCGCGTGCGCATAAAAATCTTTGGTTTGCTGGAGCTGGATTATGGTCTTGATTATGTTCTTGATTTTTCTGTTCAATAATTTCTAACCCATCGATGATCTATTTATAAATAAGTATATTTTATATTATTGCCTTTTTTTTAAAGTCACGAAATAAATTATGCACTCTTTGATGGTCAAGATATTGCATATCAATATTAAGAAAATGACCACAGTTACATATACGTTTTAGATCCTAAAGAATATGCATATTTTATTAAATTACCACAGATTTTTCAACACCAAACACTGCTTTTGGTAAAGGTAATGGCATCATGGTCATATCTTCTTTGAAGGATTTATCTCTCAAGGTACTTAATGCCATATTATTGTAAAGATAACTTGATAGTCCAGGGACATATTCAAGTAGGGATGCCAAAATCCTTAGAGGTAAGCTGCCGCTCACGTATGGAAAGGAAAATCCGTTCACGTATGGAATGGAAAATCGGCCCACGTATGGCAAGGAAAATCCGAAAGTATTCTATAAAAATTTATATTAGAAAGCATTTTGAATTAGGGACATAGAAGACTATTTTTACCTCTTGATCATGATTGAGTTTTGAAGACATTGAACTTTTATGATTTTGCGACTTAGATCGTTAAAGATGAACGTTAAATAAATATTCAAGATAATTCCGTGAGAACTTTATTTAAAGAATGCTGATTATCTTTCTCCAAAAAATGGGTACGTACGTACATAATTGCATGTTAATAACCTGTCTATTCTAACTAGGGATTTCAAAGGCTTTACTTTTTTGTGATAGTAATACATCCAAAAAGGAAATTTAATTTGGCAAATAAATCAAATGCGTAAAAACACAAGTTTAGGGTTAGGACGTCAATATTACTGTAGAAGCTATAGCCATAGATTATTGCATGCTATATGTAAAATTTCGTTCCCGGCATTTTTAATTAATGCACGCCAATTTTATTTATGCTTTTTTCTTTCGCACTGATCAAAATTTGTATATATATATATATTATATATATTTTAAAGAATTCCAAAATGTAGCCTTTAAAACGATTTTGATTGATTTTGTGATTACTCTATTGTGCAATGTATAACTTTGTTGTGATTAATATGAGATAAGAAATTCATCATAATTACATTTTCGAATAGTATCGGTACGATTCACATGAAATGTGAGCGGGAATGTTGCAGATCTTGATTTGTTTAGAATAGATCATTAATATTACATAATAGGTTCATCATAAGGTTCGACATTCATTCAATTCATCAATGACAAATGTTTCGTCATCAACCTGATTTAGACAAAACACTTTAATCCACAACGAAATCATATCAATGACAACAACTTCAACGAGCAAACTGACAGCAAAATACTGACGACAAAGGCTTCAAAAGTGCAGTTTTAAATATCAACAGTTCAAAAAACAGAAGCACCAGTTACTGCGGTTTCAATGATGAAGGTTTCGATCATAACGGCTCCAGTGACGAAGACTACAATAGCGATGACTCCAATGATAATACTTCAAAAGCTCTACTCTAATAACGAGAGAACTAAACCTGGCAAAAAGAAAAGCAAAATGTTAGAACAGCCGTTTTCATAAATTTTGGGATGCTAAAAATTTTCTCTTTCAGAAACAACTTCGATATCGTTTTAATAATATTCAAACTTTGCAGAAACCAATCGTTATCCTCGAAATACAAACTCAGAGGCAATGTTGTAGTTTCTGAAAAGTTAGATTATTATTAGGACAAGATCGAAGAGGTCTCAGATAAATGTAAATTTTAGATGCCCCAGAATTTATGAAAAGCGTAAAGAGGAATAGAAATAGAAGATGGAAGAAAGTGAGTGAAGAATGGAAAGAAAAAAAAAAGAGAGCAAAGAGTAAAAAGAAGGAAAAAAAGAAGAGAAAGAGTAAAACAAGCGAAAAAGAAAAAAGAAAAATAAGATAAAGGAAACTGAATAAAAAATATAAAAAAGCGAAAGAAAAGAAGGAAAGAAAAGGAAAAAATGTGAAAAGGAAAAGAGCGAAATTAAATGGAAGAAAATGAAGAAACAGAAATGAACGAAAGAAATGAGAAAAGAAAAAAAAGGAAACTGAAAAAATGAAATAAGACAAGGGAATAAGGAAGGAAAAGTAAAAGACAAAAAAAAAGCGAAGGATTAAAGGGAAGGAAACAAGAATCAAAAAAAATTTTTCAAAAAATGAAGAAAATAGAGAAAAGGAAAGAGAAAGAAATTAAATAAGCGAATTATCAGAGTACTTCTATTGAAATGGCATAGGTACGTTATATTAATCTTACAGTTTTCTAATTTCACCCAACTAAACGAGTCCGGTAAATTTTGGACATTATAAAATTCTTATCCAAATACTGAACCTTTGGCATGAGTATTATGCTAGATTGTAACTAAGCATGGCATATGTTTTAAAACACAATATTAAAGATCATGAATTTTTGAAAAAAAGACGTTAAAAAATGGTTTGATACATTTAGACGTAATCATGGTCTGAAATTTATGTAATGCAATTGATATCGTACTTATTACGATTACAAACTTTTAAAAAAAAATAAAAAAATCATTGATAATGTTTCGTGAAAGACACCTTTAAAAAAAAATAACTGAAATTAATAAACACACTCGAACATCGTCGTCAAAATCATAATTCATCCAAGTACTTATTCAACAAGATTTACATCACAATATTTTCAAAATAATTTGTTTATGCACATATATCTTGGAACTTAATATATCATTAAATACGTAAAGTTGTATTTAGTTGGCAGACAAATTACGCATTTTAAAATAATTTAGCATTAAAAAAAAACAAATACATTTTTTATAATTATTCACAATGAGGATTGTTAATGGGGCATTCCGTTGACTTCATTTTAATAGTAATACTTCAGAGTATTACCTGTTACTATTAAAATGGAGTCAACGGAGTGCTTCATAAACAACCTTATTCATAATCGTTTTTATACGTTATTTGTAATAAATCATGAATTATAAAAATATACACTTTCTTTTTTAAAGACAATTTTCTCAACCATATAACCGAAACCGAAATTAACCAATCAATAAATTTCAGCATCAGATGCTGATATTTTAATACAATTTTTTAACTAATAAAATATATATATATATATTTTTTTTACCATCTCTATTTGTAACAAACTTAAATGTTAAAAATATATTTTTTTGCTGAAACTAAAATTAACCAATCGGATGCAATAGTTTCAGTTTCAGCCCAAATTCAACATCAGTAGTTTGTTTTAACCCTTTTTTTTGTGACAGTTGGGATTTTGCAGTAAGCATAATTGGCCAGTTATACCTTACTGCAAATTTTCACTTATATCCAATTTACACAGGATATCTGTAATCTATGTAACATGACTTTTCATGTACTTATTTTAGAACGTAACCTTTATTTTACGCATTGTTTTTGACATTTAAGATTAATTAGGATAATATTCAATTACCTAAATTAAATAGATATACAGTATGTCTAGTAGAAATAATTACATGAACAAATTTAACTACGCTAATATCGATAAGTTTCAATATGTGTAGATTATTAACTGATATGAATCAGTTAAAATCTGTATGCACTCACCCCGTTTAATAATAACAAAAAAATTGTTAAGAAAAATAAATGTCGTGGGTGAAGCTGGAAACGGCTGAAGCTGAAAATTTTAAATATTCTAGTAAGAGTTAGCTTAGAATTTAGGGTTAGTTTTGATTATAAAAATGTATAAGTGGATATTGGTAGGGTTTATATTTTCAAATAGAGGTCCTTAATTTCCAGCTTCAACCATTCCAACTTCAGTCGCAACAATAAATAAAAAATAAATAAATAAATTTTGTCATATGCTTGCCTAAATGTTAAACACAAGCTAAATTTGCATACAATAAACGATACAATTAAACGAATACGCTAAATACTGTATTTTTGTACGTAATTAGAATTTTTTTTACAACAGGACTTAATATGGCAATTGTCTTTTGACAACGGCAGGAATCTGGATAGGTATTTTAGTTTAAACCAACATTGTTATGATTCGCAATGTTAATGTTTATTTATAAGTTATGTAATTAATAACGCCATTTAAATTCAATTTTTGTTTTTTCACTCAAGTAACAGATTGGGCGATTGTGATTATAATTAATTGATCCTTTATTGTTATGAGTTGGATATTTATTAAGGTTACCATATATATTCGAGCATATTTAGAAAGTCTTCGGAAACTATAGGGCGATTTGTGGAGCACGCACTTAATCCGACTATAATATCAAGATACAACATATAAGATTTTAAAAAAAGGTTAAGGTAAAGGTAAATGTCAAGGTCAATATCATTAATTAATTACGGATCATTAGGGTGTGCGCAATACTATGTAGATCAATCAATGTATGGACCCATATTTAAAATATTATATTTGATTTTTTTTGGCATAACATTTTATGATCTATTTATAATGATCAATTTATTATGATCAATTTATTATATCGATATTTTTATTATGCATATTTACATAAAGTTATTTTGAAACAAATTGTAAAAAAAGCTAGTCTGTTCACTAATTAGTTGTTTTTCTTTGCCTTTACTTTTTTTCGAATTTCTTTTAAATTAGAATCATTTTTATCAATCGACCATGTTGATAATCTTAATTTTAATTCTTTAAGTTCTGCTGTCATGTTGGTCCTTTTGAATAACGCATTGTTTTAAAAAACGAGCTGCTGCAAAAACTTCTGTTTGTGGTAATCGCCAATTTGAAAAATTAAGTCAGCCTGCTTTTTTTCTACTGTGGGTGATTCAACATATTTTTTTATTATATGCTGAGTTGTATTTAATCGGGTTTGATTCATTTATTTAAATACGAATTAATTTCTTGTATCGTATTTTTATAAATCTTCTGCCGAACTTCCAAACTTTTTTGGGCTGCCCTCTTAGTTTGAAAACAGCGTTTGTTGGATTGATATATATTCATTTTTTTATACCTTTATTTCGTATGCTTTATTTAAATATTTAATTAAAATATTTGTTTAAGATTGGTATTTAATATTAATAAACTTCAAACGATTGCAAGCAAAGTTACGTTAAAAGAATTTACATTAATAAGCCAAAACTTTTTTGATAATCCCAAAAAATATGACCGATCATAGTAGGAAATTACAGGATTTCAAGCAAATCTGATCTGAAATCTTTTTTATATGATATCTAAAAATAAATACCGTAATTTTGATTGCGTTATATATTAAAATATTTCTGCATTTAATAAAATGAATAAGAATTCAAGGCACTTGCTATTGTCGGTACCGGAAGGACTGCGACTCGGTCGCTCCACAATCCAAA